TGCTTCCCAAAAAAATGGAGAAACACAATGTGTTCTTTCGCCAAAAATGTGAAAACCACAACCTGCTTCTTGGCTCCTCCTATTTTTTTTAATATTCGCTTTTTTCGGTTGCTGTTTTTTGTTTTTTACAAGGTATTTCTTTTTTATTCATTTTTTCTGCTTTTTAATAAAATTGCTAATAAAAAGCTTGTCGAAATCTATTAACATGGGATCGAGTTTCGAAGACCTCGACACAAGAAATTCAAGGGTGAAGACGGTTTGGCATTTGAACGGATGCTTTAAGAGATAAGATGGTTTGAATAAACAAATTTATAGAAAAGAAAAATTCTAGCTTATGACATGTGTGTCTTATCAACACCTGAGAAGATGGAGTGATCTTTGAAAAGATAACGCTAATTAGTGATTTCTGCCCGCTTAGCTTTGGTGCTCCTCTGCTATTACATGCCTTGCGATAGGGCACAACCCCATCGTGGTTCGGCCACGACATGGTATGGATGTGACAAAAACGGGAGGAACTAAAACATGAAACATGGGGCGGTTAATTAGAATCAAAGAGAGAATAAACAGTATTTAATTAAGAGAAAAAGTATGTTTTTTGTCCGTCAACCTTGTCGATGTTCTAGAAATAGTCCTTCATCTCGGAAACCAAGAAAACCTAGTCCATGAATTGTTAAAGCTAGATATTTTTCGTTCCTCAGGTTGCTTCGGATGGTTATATTCTCATGTGGCATGATTTTGACCAATGACCTCGCAACTCACCTTCGCCGCTTTTATCGCTAGACTAGATTCTAGCAGCACGATAAGCACCATACGATAAGAATATTGAACATATAAATCCTTCTAGAGTACCCGCCTAACCAGAGCATTGCTTCGGGCGTTCAATCTGGTTCATCCGATGTGCGTCCGTGTAAAGTTATCAGTACTTTTCAGCTGTGTGTCAAAGATCCTGCCATTGGCCTTACCTCACGCCATGGATTTGGGTTTTGGTGGATGACGCCTGGGCCAGGAAAATGCGTGGGACCAGCAGCTCAGCGTGCCGTGCGTGTGTCGTTTGTGTGAGAAATACAGACAGTCTTCTGTGGTAAAAGGAGGGATGGACTGGAGCGCTTGTCGCTCGTACGGCATCGGCTCTGGGCTGTTGGTTCGTGTTAATGTGTTAATGTTGATGACGTGTGGGCCAATACGCAGCGCGGGCCCGACGTTTCAGTTACTGTGTGCGTGTGTGCGAGTGTAAGGCTGGAAAAGAGGGGTGGGATGCAGCGATCGTGGGACGTGGGGTCGAAAGCCGGAAAAGCCAGGGCCAATCCTCCTCCCGAAAACCACCGCACTGCCAATCCTCTCCGTCCTCGAGCCCTTCTTCTTCTCTCTCTGCGCCGCCTCGTCTCCCCTGCTCTCGCACCGCCGTCTTCTCTCCCCGGCCCTCGAGGTGCGCCACCACGTTCTCGATCCAGCCGGGTCGGGCGCAGGTCGCCGGCATCACGCGCCG